GTTAGTCTCCTCCTCTCTCTCTCTCTCTCTCTCTCTCTCTGAGCTGGACCAAGAATCTAAGAATTGAATCAGGAACTTTTATCATTAGGTGCTAACCTATTTCCCATTGCCATTGTAGTGCACTAGGTCAATAAAGTGCTATATGCTTAGCTTCGGTTTCTTGCCTGTTCTAATCCTGCTGTTCACTAATTAAATAAAAGGGAAATTTATCAAATTATCTATAATAGATTAACAATTTAATATTTTATTTATATCTTTTGATTTAATTTCAAAATACTCATATAAATATGAAAAAATATATGGGAAAATATAATATTTTTCCCCATTTGCAACTATTCCAACCAATGGTGTGTTTTTATATGGGAAATGTCGTTAAATAGTTGATACCCCTTATGAAATCATTGAAGGGATCAAATAATCTCGATTAACATTTAAGGGGTTATTTTTTTTCTTTTCATTTCACTTGGGTACTTCCTTAAAAGAATTTTAAAATATTTCAAATTACCTTTTTTCATGATGGAGGAGGAAAAATTAGGTGTATTTTAGTATTTTGATTCTCAAAGGCCTTAATTGAATGATAAAAATACCCTTGCTTATTAACAGTTGGAAATTTGTTTAGGGCCTCTCTAGGACAATTTGAAAAAAATTAAATGTTTTAAATATTTTTGAGGAGGTATTTAAGTGAAATGAAAAAAAAAAAAAAACATTACCTTTTCAAATGTTATAGGATTATTTGACCACTTTAATGATTTTGTAAAAGGTATCAACCCTTTAAATGATATCAAAACACACCAAAATGGGGAAAAATGTTAAATACTTCAAAGTATATTTTAATAAATTTCCAAAAAACTAAAATAAGGGAAAAAATAGATATGCTACTTAGATACTTCACACAAACTAAAATAAGAAAAAAAATAGATATCCTACGAGATACTTCACACCATACATTGATAGCGAAATCCAATCTTCAATATTTCAACTCTTACGAATCCTCGTGCCATGGCCCTTTATCCCCATCTCTCCACCCTGCGTTTTGAACTTGAGATTAGGGTTCTAACTTCTGAAATTTCTCTCAAATGTAGCCAGAGGATCATTCTTATTAGTAAAATTTAATCATTCAGTTTCAATCTGACACATATTTGAATAATATTTCTATAAATAAACTTTGAGAAAGAAACCTAATTCCGGCTTACATATGGCTAGTAACCCATTGAAAACCCAAAAATTTGTTAGGTAATCTGTAAATCCCTTACCCCATACACCCCTTTTTTAAATTTAAGGAAAAATTACTAATAACTCTCAAGATTAAAAAATTACAAATAACTCTCAAGATTAGACTTTCTATGCAAGTTATCCAAACCAAATTTGTTAGGTAATTTGTAAATCCTTTACCCAATACACCCTTTTTTTAAATTTAAGGGAAAATTACAAATAACTCTCAAGAGTAGACTTTATATGCAAGTTACCAAACCAAACTTTTGTCTCACTTTTTAGCCCAAAATAGACTTTCTTAGCAAATACCCTCATCCCCCCAACTCCAAAAAAAAAAGTTTAAACTACCCGGCCTTACTTTTATCCACGCCTCTCTCCTATTTCCTACTAAAAGGTGATCTGGCGTATTCTTAGGGCAGCCCGGCAGTGTAATGTCGGTCCAATAAATAACAGTGGTGGTCCGGCACTGACAAAGAACTGTCCGACAATAGGCCCATGCGATCTGGCACCGTCAAAGATCGGTCCGTCAACAGGCCCAAAGTGCGGTCCAAGAATGTCAAAGAGCGGTCTGACGCTTTTTTTAGTTTAATGGGCTCTGACAATGTCAAAGAACGGACCGGCAACCAAAATAAGCCCATGTAAATGTCTGGCCAAAATTAGATTTTTGTGTACGAAAATACCAATTTTCGTCAAAAAAAATGTCCTTTTTTTTACTTGGGGGTTATTTGTTAGAAAGTGTATTTTGGGGAAAAAAAGTGAGAAAAAAATTTATTGTCGGTGTCTTGGGCGGTTATTTATAATTTTTTAAATATTTTATTTTATTTTATTTTATTTTTAATATTGTTTAGGTAAATAATTGTACCAAATCACCAATAGGACATAGATATGTGGGAGCTCAACACGGTTTTGAAAGAGTAAATACAAAAAAAAAAAAATTACAAAAAACCCCCCCAAACACACTATTTATGTAACTTACCCCCATCCAAACCTTTTCTCTTACTTTTTTTCCCGACAACAACATTTCTTCGCAAAAATCCCCCAAGGGAAAAAGTTGTTATTTTTTGGATGGAAACGCTCTTCCCATACAAAAAAAATCAATTGGCACTGACTTTTGTTCCCAAGTAGCGTATTGCCGGAGCGCAATATAGAACTGTCGAAGCGAACTGTCTAGAACATACTGCTGGAGTGCGTAGGTATCAAACGTCGGAGTGCTTTGTAACGATTGTTGGATCGCCCTATGCACTGTCGGAGCGCTGTGGCTCCAGAGCCCCTATTGCTGGAGTGCCTTTATAGACTATCGGAATGAAATGTCTCCAGAAAGTGTACTGCCGGAGTACCCTATTACACTACTAGAGCGTTGTGGCTCTAGAGCATGTATTGTCGGAGCGTTTTTTAGGACTGCTGGAGCATGTCATCTCCAGAAACTGTATTGTTAGATCGTGTCTTTGTACTGCCGGAGTGTATTGTCTTCATTGTCGGAGCGACCTATTCAACTGCCAGAGTGTTAGGGCTCTAGAGCTCGTATTGCCGTAGTGCTCTTTGGGACTATCGAAGTGCATGTTGTTCAGAAAAATGGGAAACATGAGAGAGAAGGGCGTGTGAAAAAAAAGAAGGGTAGTTTGGTTTTTTTTCTTGTTTCTTTTGGGTTGGCGGGTTTATTTGCGAAAAAAGGTTGTGGTGGGAAAACAAATGAGAGGAAAGGTTTTTGCATTGATAATGTATTTTGTGAGGGTTTTTTGGTAATTTTTTCAAAAATAAAGGAGAACTAAAATTTATTTTGATTACTTTGACCCAAACTCTTAAATCAGGTGAATTTTTGTGTTTTGGTTTCTGGAATATAAAGAGTTTTGCTGCTTTCAATGTCGACCATGATGCGGCTGTTTCAATTCAGTTCTCTGACTGAATCACAAGTCACTACCATTGATCCACCATTCGATCAATTCTCTCTATAACTTCAGTTCTGAAACTATATCATAACCATGGATCTACCATTCAATCAAGGAGCAGAGAACCCTGCAAACCCCAATCAAAATCACCGCCCTCCATTGAACTGTAAGCCCTCTTCAACCCTCTGGTTTCTTTCACTATCTGTCCTTCTAATCTCTCTCACTCTAGGAATCGCAAACACCAGATTATACAAGCTACACTCTCTAAGATCAACCTTATCAGGACCCTTGCAACCCATGACCCAAAAAACCCTAGATTTATCAGAACAAACCACCATCTCCAAACCTCAAATCAATGTTCTATGGATGGCCCCTTTCCTATCAGGAGGTGGGTATAGCTCAGAGGCCTGGTCTTATGTAACAGCTTTAGAGGAAACTGGTCAAACCAATTTCAATTTGATGATTCTTCATCACGGTGATCAAGAAGCCCTTGATTTTTGGGATGGTTTGCCTGAGAAAACCAGGCTTTTAGCACAAAAGCTCTATTATAGAGGACCTATACCTCTGAACCAGACTGTAATCATATGCCACAGTGAGCCTGGAGCTTGGTATCCACCTCTCTTTCTCACTCTACCATGCCCACCAACTGGTTATAAAGAGGCTGCTTTTGTTATAGGTCGAACCATGTTCGAAACGGATCGATTAAATCCCGAGCATGTAGCTCGATGTAACAAGATGAATTCGATTTGGGTCCCTACTGATTTCCATATCTCGACCTTTCTAAAAAGTGGAGTAAATCCAACAAAAATCAGAAAAATAATCCAACCAGTTGATGTAGATTTCTTCAATTCTGAGAAATGGAAGCCACAAAAGATTCAGACCTTGGGTCGACTGGTTTTAGGCCGCCCCAATTCACAAAAGAGCTCAGAGCTTCTTCCCAGTAATGCAGACTTTGTGTTCTTGAGTGTTTTCAAATGGGAATTCAGGAAAGGGTGGGATATCTTACTAAAAGCTTATTTGCAAGAATTCGAAGCATCTGATAATGTCTTTCTCTCTCTGATCACGAATCGCTATCACTTTGATGAGGACATTGGTACCAAGATCAAAGAATTCTTAGAGAATTCTAATATGACAGAACCCAATTCAGGTTGGGCTCCAATAAATTTAATTGATGCCCATATTCCACAAAGGTGTTTGCCTGAAATTTACAAAGGAGCTGATGCTTTTGTTCTTGCTTCAAGAGGAGAAGGATGGGGGAGGCCAATTGTAGAGGCCATGGCCATGGCTTTGCCTGTGATTTCTACAAATTGGTCAGGGCCTAGGGAGTATATGACAGAGGAGAACAGTTATCCATTGCCAGTAGAAGGGATGAGAGTGATTGGAGAGGGACCATTTAAGGGGCATCTTTGGGCTGAGCCCTCAGTGAATGGGTTGAGGATTTTGATGAGAAGGGTTTGGTTGAATGGTGAGGAGAGGGAGAGGAAGGGGAAGAAAGGGAGGGAGGACATGGTCAGGAGGTTTTCTCCTCATGTGGTTGCAAGGGTGGTGGTTGATGAGATATTGCAGTTGTTAAAGGAGGAAATGTAGATAATGCCTATTGTATGAATTTTTTGATTTTTCATTTACTCATGACTTATTTGTTAGGAAAGAACATCATCATCTTACTTTTATTTCAATTAATTAGGGTCCAATACACTCCGTCATTGTGCTCTATTTAAGGCCATATTCTCAATGAGGCTATAAGTCCCGAAAAACAGATGATTCGCCACGAAAGATGATTGGCTTAAATTGATCTTCTCTAACTTTGGTAAAGATTTTCTCTAATATCTCTCTTCAAGAATTTCTCTTTTATTGGTAAGTGAGATTTTTATTGGGTGCTAAATTTTTGAGGTGTGATAATTCTTATGAAAGGTGTGGTTTGTATAAGGCTAAGGCTCTAAACAATCAAATTAAGACATACCTTCAAATAGTATTGAAATATGTTTCAATATCATCAATTTTTGTGATGGCTTTGTAATCTATCTTCATCTCTAATTATAAACTTCAAAGCTTCAAAAATAGTGTAGATCGATCATATTTATGAACATTTAGAAATTTTGAAAATTGATGGTCTCGATAATACATTATAAGATGCAGTATTTTCAATACTTGAAATCTATTTTTTTTCTCATTTTCATGCATCTTGAGGTCGAGATGATCAAATTGAGCGTTTTTGCGATATCAAAACAACCTTTGCTAGTGAATTTCTTTGATTGTTTTATATAATTTTTTTCCTCCTTTGAATGACCCCTCTCTCGTCTTCTATGTTGTTCTTTGTTGTGTGTAGTATTTGGAACCCCTTATTCTCATTAGTCAATAACTTGCTAAAATTTTGAAAGAAATTGTGCTATATTATTAAGAAAAAATTTTATAGGGAAAATTATATATACCTCCAACTTAAACTTTCTAGGCAATCTCCTCTCAACCAATTTTTTTATTGTAACTTTTACCACAAAGCATGATTTTCTAGCAAATAATCATCTAAGTAAAAAAATCATAGTTATTTAGACCAAAATGCCAATCTTTCGTACAAGCTCATGTCACATCCCCCTAGGATGAACAGTGATCAAAGGTTAATTGCTGGACCAATACAATAAAAGCACTGTCGGACACCAATGCACTGCTGTCGGACCGCATGAACAATATGTTGAACCACAGTAAACAACAGTCGGACCGATACCAATGTTAGAAGACCAGTCCCTCACACAACCCATTCCAGTAGATTAAGTGACAGACCAAAGTAAAAAAGTGCCAAATCGATGTCACCTTGTGCCGGACCAAGGTAAAAACATTGTCAGACCCCACTGCATATTTGTCGGATTGAGGACACCTTGTGCCTGACCGTGTGCACTCTATGACGGCAGAGAGTACAATGTCAAACTAGCAGTTGGAAGTGCCGGACCATAGTTAGCAAGTCGGGGACTATCAATAAATCGGCTCACCATAAAATCGGAAACAAATCGTTTTTATTTTAAAAAGTCAGATGAAAAAATAGGGTAAAAAATACGCATTGGCAAAAATACTTCATATAAAGATATCGCTAATATATCGGATTAGGTTAAAAAAATCGAAGTAAAAAAATCAGATAAATTTATAATATTAGAAAATTTGAAATTTTAAAAATAAAAATTATGTTAAAGCCATCAATAACTAATTCATCCATAAAACCTTTATTAGACTAATATAATTAAGTCAATTAATTTAGATACCTCATAATTCTCATCCAATCCTCCCATATTAAATACATAATTAACTAGTATATACCAAAAAAAAATGTACCATATAAATCTACCCATTAAATACTTTAAGAAACATCACACCTACTTATTACATACCAAAAACAAATATACCATATAAATATGTTCATTAAATACTTTAACTATGGTATGGTAGCAAATATATTATATAAATTTATTCTTTAATTACTTAAACATCACACCTACTTAGCAAAACCAAACAAATGAAAAAATTTATATAAGGATGCTACCTCATAATGTATAACTATAGATGCCCTTAAAAAATCCATAGGAAGAGGTAGTTTTAATGTTGAAAAATCCTTTGATTGATTATCTCGACATCGAGATTGATGACTATAAAAAATAAAAAGATTTTAAGTCTAAAAAATAATACATTTTACAACATATTATCTACACCATCTATTTTCAAGATTTTCATAGGTTTATAGATCTACTTGATTTTAGTCATTTTTACAATTTAAAATTTTATAATTAAATATAAAAATAAATTTTAAGATAATCTTAAGAACATTTTACATTAAAAATATATACCATGAAAAAATTTGAAAAGGCACCTTACCGCCGTCGACATGCAAACTGCACCCCGAAGAAAAATACATCATTTTTGTTTTCTCGTTACCATGCTTTAACTATAGTATGGTGACTATGGTCACTCCATAACTATGGTTAAAGTTTTATAAATTTCTTTAATTTAAAAGAGCCTCGTGGAAATTTGGGTTTTACACCTCTGTATTAACGGTTTAGAGAGAGGGGGAAGAAGGAAGAGAAGCATATAGTCCTGGGCTCATAGCGGGTTTATAGAGAGAGAAGAAGAAAGAAGGAAGAGGTCATCGGCTTCACAAACCCTAATGGAAGAAGCCCTAGCTGATTTTACTGATTTTTAGAGAGAGAAAAGAAAGATGGTATAGTGATTTGGGATATTTTGAAGAGGGTTTTTCTCTGATTTTTAGAGAGAGAAAAGGAAGATGGGATGGGATGCTGATTTGGGATATTTTGAAGAGGTTTTTTCTCTTAGGATGTTGTTCGATAGAAAGCCCTAACTATACTGATTTGTGAAGAGGCCCTAACAGATTTCGCCTAACTGATTTTTAGAGAGAGAAAAGGAAGAGGGTTTTTTATTTTCTTGGGGAAACAGCATGCAGAGCTGAAGGATTAGGTATGAGAAACTCCTTTAAGTTTACAGTTTATTCTATATTGTTTATCTTTGTTATCAAATAATCCCAAACAAAATATTAATTACTTGGTCCTGTAGTCACACTTCTCATTCATCAGTATATGTTTTGAGCTCTAATTTGTGCCATAAACTGTATTTTAATAAAAAAAATTATCAGAAATCTGCATTTTGAAATCTGCATTTTGTTTACACAATGATTTACTTTACGAAATGATTTGCTATAAAATTTACACAATGATTTTCCATAATAACAACTGAAATCTGCATCTATTTGTTTTAGTTTGAAAAAAAGAGAAAAAAGAATTCATGCCTTCAATCTGCAACTGTGGCTTTGAAGAACACAGTGTTGATAAAAATTTCTATTTTAGGTTTTATTAGAAATAATTTTTTTTTTTTCAAAAGCATAAAAGTAGCAATGGTTACAATACACAAAAGCACAAAACAATAATAATAATAAAAATTCTTTCAAAAACAATATACGATTTGTTGGCTTGATTTAAATCGTAATATAAAAAAGCGTGTTTTAAACGTTTTTACGTTGTTATGAAAATTACGCTATTTTTTCCTGACCTTTTCAAAAAGTTTCCGTTTAAAACTGTTTCCATAAAAATGCCTGACTTTTTTAATATAGGGTGTCGGTCCGACATTAGGAAAGACGGTTTGGTATATGAGTCTCCGTTTAAAACAGTTTATTCTATATTGTTTATCTTTCTCATATCCTTGGATTGATTGCATGTTTAAATTTTTTTGGTCAAATCAAAATGTTTTTATATATATATATATATAAATATGTATAGGGCAATGATTTCATGCAACCATTGTATAGTAAAATGATGCAATAACCTTAAAAAACCATCTTATGGCCATTTGTTTGATCCAAAATGTGAAATATACATACTTTTCATTCTAATGAACAATCACAAAAAAAGAAAAAATTGAAAACACAACCAAGAAAGTATTTTTTTAGCCCAATTAACATAGGCCGTTCATTTTGGTGAGATGCTTATATCTAGGCCTTAGAAGGATTTTTCATTTCCAATTTTTTTGAATGGATTTATTATCATTGGATGAACAATTTTAAAAAAGAAAAAAATGATATTGAGTTTATAAAGGCTAATATCTTGAAATGCACAAAATGAATGGTCTAGATTTGTTTTTGGAGGGGACTCATTTTGACATAGGGTTAAAATTGAACTTTTTTTTTGGGGTGGATTGATTATTGAGATGAAGAGAGTGTGTGTGCAAAATTTGGGGTCATACAAATACCACAAACATGGTTTTGTAGAGGCGTCGTTGCATTATACTATAATACAACCGTTGTATTGGATCATTGCTCATATATATATAGAAAAAGCTGGGATTAGCCCACTAGCTCATATGAACATATGAGCCCAACAATCCAGATTGAATTTGAGCCGATCTGAAGGTCACGACCTCATTTTTTGTTTTGAATTTTAATCATTTTTTTACAAATTCAAATCACTTGAAATTTTAGGTGTATGTTATTCTCATCAAGGCGCACCTAATAAAAATATACAAAAAAATTATTCGTAAAAAATACAATGACCAAAATACCTCCAAATATTTTTGGGGATATTTTAATTATTTTATTTCATGTAAAATATTTTTTTGATATTTTTCAAAGATTCAACTATTTTTTGTGATCACACTCCTAAAATTCCAAGTGATTTGGATTTGTAGAAAAAAAATTAAAATTAAAATACTATCAAACATCTGTGATAGTCAGATCGACCTAGATTCAATATGGGCCGTTGGGCTCATATGTTC